CTCCATTCCAATCTTCATCAAGGATTCTCCAAAGTTGAGGTATGTGGGTTGATTGTGGAAACCTTCCTTTCCACAAGTCCAACCATTTATCCTCTATTTTACTTCAAGTTTATGGGTCCTTATGATCATTTATGAACTCTTGAATTATGGAATTACTACTACACATTCTATTATGGTCTATTTTTGCATATTATCATGAAATGGAATTATTATGTGATGTTTATGGTTTTCATGCTTCCATGATCAAATTATGAAGGTTGATATATATATATATATATGTGTGTGTGTGTGTATGTTGTTGGTGGGCTGATTTATATGTATTTCGGAATTGGTTGGACTTAGTACTCTTGAAAGACATAATTTTATCTACATGAACAATAGTCCACCATGTGTTTGATAAAATGTCATTTATAGAATTCTTAGGAAATGGAAGGTCCAATGTACATCCTAGGAGTCGGATGATTATATAATTATTGAAATGATGATGAAAGGGATACATGTATATGATTTCTCTATATAGTGTTGTGAGTCGACCAAGCCTAGTACGGGGGGTAGTAGGCCCGTATAACCGTATCGAGGGGTTGGTACCTTGGTTGCCTAGTACGGAGGGTAGTAGGCCCGTATAACCATATCGAGGGGTTTGTACCTTGGTCCCTAGCTCGGGGGTGGTAGGCCCGGGTAACCACATTGAGGGGTTTGTACCTCTTTCGCCTTTCCAAGGGGGTGGTAGGCCTTGGAAATACTATATTGATGGTCACTCGCCACACATGTACTACGTCCCACTAAATATGATTTTTATGTAAGCGTCATTATATATATCATTTCATTAATGTGCTATCTATCGGGTATGATTATGCATTTTTCCTATGATGTCCATCTATTGTAGCATTGCATTGCATCTCATATACTTAGTACATTCAAACGTACTAATGCATACTCTATGCCTACATGATGTCACCATGTAGGGACCGGAGCACCGCTTGACCATCCTCCTCCGCGTGGCTAATACGATTTTCTATCGAGGTTATTGGTGAGTCCTCCATTCCGGGGACGTTGCTTATGATCTTTTGCTATGTATAAGACTTTTTCTTTTTTTTGTTATGTATTGACTATGAGGGTGAGCCCGGTAGTTTGTCTTGGCCCCCGCTAAGTACTCATGTTTAGAGGTGGTGTTGGACAAGTTGTGTATTATGCTTGAACTTGACTCATCTATGGTATTTATGTATCATTTCTTCTTCTTTTTCTTGCTCCCTTAGTCCCGATTTCCCCCTTGATTATACTTATCGCTTATGGTCATTTTAATTGCTTCCGCGACCAAGGATGTGTAATGATACGCTATGAGGCTTGTTTAGGGTTCCTTCGGGTTCCCCATTCGCCGGTCACGTCTTGGCCCTAGGCTTGGGTCGTGACAGTTACTTATAGTTTCACAGATTTTTCAAGCATATTTTCGCATTTACAAGCTAAGTTTTAGAAATTATGCAACAATCTTAGTTTTTCGTGTATATTAGCCCATGAATTTGGCGCCTCAAAGAACCCAAATAAATTTTCTGCAAAAACTTTATGAGGACCTCCGTAATGAGTTGGGAAGCATTATGTACATTCCCACAATTTTTTGAGGTAAATTTTCACATTTACAAGCTAACTTTTAGGAATTACGTGACTTTTTTGTTTTCATGTGTATTAGCCCATTAATCTAGCACCTCGGAGCACCAAAAAAAAATTCAGAAAAAACTTTATGAGGACCTTCGTAGTAAGTTGGGGTAGCATTACATACAGCCCCACCATTTTTTCAGGTATATTTTCGCATTTACAAGTCAACTTTTAGGAATTACACGACTTTCTTATTTTTCGTGTGTATTATAGCTCATGGATATGGCATCTTGGAGCACCCAAAAAAAATTTCTGAAAAAACTTTATGAGGACCTCCGTAATGAGTTGGGGAAGCATTACGTACAGCCCCACCATTTTTTCAAGTATATTTTGCATTTACAAGCCAACTTTTAGGAATTACGTGATTTTCTTGGTTTTTCGTGTATATTAGCCCATGGAACTGGCGCCTCAAAGAACCCAAATAAATTTTCTAAAAAAAACTTTATGAGAACCTCCGTAATGAGTTAGGGAAGCATTACGTACAGTTCACCATTTGTTTCAGGCATATTTTTGCATTTACAAGCCAACTTTTAGGAATTACGCGATTTTTTTGGTTTTTCTTGTGTATTGGCCCATGAGTCTGACGCCTCAGAGTGATCAAAAAAATTTCGTGAAAAAATCTTATGACGACTTCCATAACGAGTTGGGGAAGCGTTACGTACAGTCTCACCATTTGTTTCAGGCAATTTTTTTACATTTAAGAGCCAACTTTTAGGAATTACACGACTTTCTTGTTTTTTCATGTGTATTAACCTATGGATCTTGGGCCTCGAAGCACCCAAAAAAATCTGAATAAATTTTATGAGAACCTTTGTAATGAGTTGAGGAAGTGTTATGTACAGTCCCACCATTTTTTGCAAGCATATTTTTGCATTTTCAAGGCAACTTTTAGGAATTTCGCGACTTTCGTGATTTTTCGTGTCTGTTAGCCTATGGATTTGGCGCTTCGGAGCACCCAAATTTTTTTTCGAAAAAAAGTCATAAGGATCTTTGTAATGAGTTGGGGAAGCATTACATACAGTCTCATCATTTTTTTTAGGTATATTTTCGCATTTACAAGCCAACTTTTTGAAATTACACGACTTTCTTAGTTTTCTGTGTATATTAGTCCATGAATCTGGCGCCCCAGAGCACTCAAAAAATATTTATGAAGACCTCCTTTATGAGTTAGGGAAACATTACGTACAGTCCCACTATTTTTTTCAAGCTTACTTTTGCATTTACAAGTCGATTTTTACAAATTACGCAACAAAAATTTATTTTTCGTGTGTATTATCTCATGAATCTGACGTCTCAAAGTCGCCCAAATTTTTTTCCGAAAAATCTTTATTGAATGGTGATTGGAAAAAGTTGAATCTTGTATCTAGCTTGCCTTTTGAATTGTGAATTACAAATTATCCTGGTTTTATGCTGTGATTTATTTCAATTATATGTGTCTACACAAAAGTGGTGAGGTGATTAAGTTCTTGCTTTAAGCCCTCAAAACTTTACTATAGTTGAGAAATGATTGTTAATATGTATATTTTTTAGTATATGGCACAAATAAAAATGAACGAATACCATACAAATAAAATAAGGTGCAAAGAAATTGAATTCCTCTTATTACTCGTTGCCATGAATAAAGAAAAATCATTATTCATTTTCTTTCTCCAATCTCATCTACCACCCCTAACTTCGACTACAAGCTTAGCTTGTCATCTCCGCCACGGATGATGGCAGCATGGTAGAAGAAATTATGGACCAAACACCAACTCCTTCATCAACCATAACTGCAGATTCCTCCCTCTCATCTCAACCTCATTCCCCGCATCTCCCTTCTGCTTCCCCAAACAACAACAATCATATTCTCGAAATCACCCTCATTTCTGCTCAAGATCTATCTCCAGTCTGTAAATCCCTTCGTACCTACGCGTTAACTTGGGTCAATCCCAATCGTAAACGCACCACCCGTGTTGACAATCATGGTCACAATAACCCCAATTGGAATGATAAGTTCTCTTTTCGTGTAGACGATGAATTCCTCAGCTCCGATTCATCAGCTATCCATGTTGAAATTTATACTGTTTCATGGTTTCGTGATATTCTTGTAGGTACCGTAAAAGTTATTATCAACAATCTCGTAAATCCTTTTGAAAACACCAGCAATCAGAGTAAGAAATTTGTAGCTCTTCAAATTCGTCGACCTTCTGGTAATCCACAAGGGATACTCAATATGGGTGTTGCCCTAATTGACAAATCGAAACGGAGTATGCCGTTATTCAGTGAAATTACACCATTGTCGTTGGATCATAGAGATATTTTAGACAGGAAAATAAATGATATCAATGCTCAAGATGAAATGATCAATAATAACCACAATCATACCGATGAGAAATTGCAAATTACCAACAAAATTCAAATGTGGCAGCAATCACATAACGTAGCTTATTCCGAGATCAACAATAATGGAGAATTTCCAAATCAAGCAGGGTCAATAATAAACGGGTCAGAACTGTGCTCTGACATTGGTCCATCTGCTTCTATTGTGGCAGCGGAGACAGCAGCAAAGAAATTGCAGCCATCAAATAGGGAAAATGAAGACGGAGAGAGTTCTATATTGGAGGAGTTGACAGCAGAGGAAGCATATGGTAAAGGATTAGAGGAAACGAAACGAGCAAAAGAGGGACACACACGAAGGAATACAGACGGAGGATTGTATTCATGTTTTGGAAATGCATATTGTTTCGAGTTCACAATTGTTTGTGGAGCGGGTAACAATCAAGGGAATCGTAGAGTTAATAGTAGTACTGGCAAGAGCAGAATGAAAACAAATTCTGCTTAAATATTAATGTATGTATGTGTCCCTTTTTGTATACTAATACACCCTATTTTATACTATGAATGAATGAAATAAGGTGTAAATAGCCTAATAGTGAACAAATTGCTAAAAGAAAATGCAATTAATATATTTTTGTTCATGTTCTCTCTAAGACTCATTTTATTGTAGTCACAACATTTTCCATCTAACATAATTAAGTAATGATCTACTTTTACTTTTACTTTTGGCAAGATTTGGTGTTACATCTTATTTATTATAGTCATAACATTTTCCATCTAACATAATAGTCAAGTATTCACGATGATATCACACAATGTATTGGTGCGGCATGAATGAAGTGGAGGCTTGCCTCTGGAGTCTTGTGTGATAAAAAAGTACTGCCAAAATTCAAAGGTAAGTTCTATAAAATGATAATTAGACCGACATTGTTGTATGGGGAGAAGTTTTGACTAGTAAAAAATTCTCACGTACAAAAGATGCATGTTGCAGAGATAAGGATGTTGACGTGGATGTGTGGTCATACTAGGAGCGATAAGATTAGAAATGAGGATATCCAGGATAAGATGGGAGTGGGATCTGTGGTGGACAAGATGAATGAAGCGAGACTGAGATGGTTTGGACATGTTGAGAGGAGATGATGTAAGAGGTTGGTAATAGAAGGTATGAAGAGAGGTAGAGGTAGACCGGAGAAGTATTGGGAGAGGTGATAAGACAAGATATGACACAACTTCAGGTTAACGAGGGAGTGGAAAACGCATATTAGGATAGAAGGTTAATACTGTAGTGTTTATTATTGTTTTCAATGATCTATCCTAATATGTTGTTTATTGTGTTTTGATTATCACATTATTTTATTGTTGTTTTTAGCTCCTTTCTGATAGAATTTGCATTGTTTCCATGTTACTTGTTATATTCTCTTCATTATCTCCTTCTTCTTTGTGCCTGGATTTGTTGCGCTCAAGCTAAGAGTCTTTTGAAAACAGTCTCTCTACCTTCACGAGTTAGTGGTAAAATCTACGAATATTTTATCCTTCTCAAGCCTCATTCATGAGATTTCACGGAATATATTATTATTGTTATCATCATTAAAATCAATAAAAACATGCATTCGTAACTTTTCCCTTGGGTGGGATTAGTGCTTGTTTGTAACAAAATAATTTGAAGAATTGAGAAAAAATCTTATCATGAGTTTTAACTTCTCTTTTATAATTGTAGCACCAATATTTTCTTTTGTTTTACACTCCACTTTAAAAAGTTTTTCTATATTTCCAAGTTCAGCCACAAGAAGTACGAGTCTGATCGATCATAATTACGTGCCTTTTAACCTATTTTTATGTATTGTGAAATGAAGGGATAGTAAACTACTGATCTTAAAGAAAAAGGTAAGTTGCACTTTTGATTAATTAGGTCATATCATTTTCATTGTTGAACTCAAATAACTAGTTGTTAGAAATTTAAACACCATAGCTCATCATATCATTTCTTAAAGTATGATCCTTCTTTTAAAATCAAGTCAAATTATTATTAAGAAGATTAATGTGCTTGAGTCGTCCCTGTCTCAAGTATTAAATTGTCAACGCGGTTTGGCTAGCTATGTGCTAGAGGATGGTATGCAACCGGAGAATCAGATGTCCTATAATCCCACAAGGTTTACAAATAGGCATGCATATAGATACCATATAGAGAGAGAGAGTTTTGTTTCAGTGTTTGTACTTGTCTTCAAAATGATCAATGCAACATACAAGACCTTCCCCTTCAGATGGATGGACCAACCTATTCTTGATATGATATCTTCATCAACAATATAATTGGTCTCATTCAACCTATATGTTTATTTCCAACTTTTTTTAACTTAAAGTCACCATCCTTACAAAGTAAAGTTGCACATTATCTTCAAACCAGGTAACACTTCTCAATTTTCAGCAATCACCAATTGCAAACTTTGGCTTAAAATATTGAAATGGAAATTTCAACAGGGCGATACATCTAAAAAAGTTACTTATTGTATGGCTGTCTCCATATCCTTTTTTTCAACTCACTTTCGTAAAAATGTCAGAATACACAGCTTATAGGTGTTGCAGAGGAGCTGATAACAGGTTTCAAGAATATGATAATATTGTAGCATAATAAAAGAAAACTGCAATGTAGCAAAAGCACCACATGTATCGCGAGAGGCGAGATTCAGAGGGGGGTGAAGTAATAACCTGCTGGCTGTCCCATCCCATAGGGCATTGATGGTGGCATTCCAGCGCCATAGTAGCCTGGGGTAGCTCCTGCAAGTCTGGACAAACCCATTTGGCCTTGCATCCCGTTGCTTGCGTATTGCTGCCACAGCTGTTGTTCCTGCATTAACAAATGCTGTTTCCTCTCCTGTTCAGCCATTTGGACGTAAGAAGGAGGTGGCACAGCTAGGGAAGCAGCAAATGGATCTTGGTTCCCTACTGGTTGGACTGTTCCATCAGGGGCAGGTAATGCAAGCATAGGTGTTGCAGTCTTTCCCACTCCAGGCAATGCTACACTGCTGGCACTCCCACCAGTCACCTGAGTATTGCTCACGTGCTGCCTCACGGTTCCCTGATCGTACATCCCGTTTAACAAAAGTGAATCAAAACCACCTGCTAAATCAGCCGTCTGCTTTGACAAATTACTGGCGGTTTCTACCAATGCTAACTCCCAGTCAGCTTTGCCAATCTCAGCAGCTGGTGTCTGCCAAGCTGAAGTTACTTGTCCAGTCTCTCCATCAGACGGGAATGCTTCCCAGGAGCCATTCCCCTTGGCTACAGGCCCAGAAAATAGAGCTAATGCCATTTTATTGCCCTCACCATCAGCTGTCACTCCATCATCCTTCAAATTCACCAAGTCTTCAGTTACCTGCTGAGCATGTGGCCTTGGCTGTGGTACAGGTTGAGGAGGAGCAGGAGGAGGAGGTGTGTGATTCTCGGGTGGTGGGAGAGCTTTAATTTCGTTCATATCTGGTGTTTTCTCCTCTTTAACTGCTGACGAACTCTCCACCCTATTTATCTCAGGGCTCCTTGGCCTATTTGCCCTCTCTCTCAAGAAGCCCTCAAGTGTGCCCAAAAGCTTATCAGTGATGACTTGCACTTCTGGGAACTCGGATGACCTTGCAATCCCAACATCCTTGCACCAATTGTAAGTGCCGACAAGCTCATCGATCATCTTTGCTGCACTAACATAAGCATCAAAAGTCTTGACACAATCAGCATACTCCATCTCTGTGAATCGATCCAACAAATTATGTAATACCTCACAAATATCAGCATAAAGCTTGAAGCTCTCCTTCACAAGAGAATATAATGCCGCCAGCACCATCCTACTATCCTTGGCTGCACCAGTCGGTCTACAAGCCAAGAACCTATCAAGAAGCTGAAGCAATTGATTCAACCTCTCTAAAACCTTCTCAGGCTTCATTTCTCTGGCTGGCGTCACCCCACTTTTCTCTTCCCTTCCAGCAGACTCATCAGGCTCATTAAAGAACCTCTTTCTCCTATCCATCCCATGTCCATCGGACCTATACTGACCATAACCATCACCGTCATTCAACTTCCTATCATAAGTAGAAAACTCAAGCTTCTGATCTAAATAAATGGCATAAGTCCTAACGAATCCAGAATGATCCCAGGAATTAGAGTGCGCTTCATCACGAAAACCAGACATATTCAAAACCCTCATCCCTCTCCGACTTGCATACATGATCTCTTGACCAAGTACAGGGTCTCCATCAGTTAATAGCCTATGCACAAGCACTAATGCCTTCAACGCCACAACCCAATCATGGGTTTTGCTTAACCTCTTTGACACTGCAAAAACAAAAGCACTAACATACCCTCGAGAATTAGAGGTCAAGTGCAAAATCTCCCTAATATATTTCTCATCTGCTGGATCATTATCATGAGTGGTTGCTTTCACCACCAATACTTCAAGGTCCGGCGCAACATTGCCGGTCACTTTAGCTAGGCTTATACTAGTTTGATCTTTCACTGCTCCAATTGCCTTCCTAATACTCATAGCCATCACAATTATCTAATCCAATAACTTGGTGCCTTTAATCACCTTTCACAAAAACAAAAACAACAACAAAAAAGAATCTTTTAATCTAATATTATTTGTTTTCCACTATTCAAATTGATTACAACTAGAATTAAAAAAAAAAGTATAATGCATCTTGTCGAAGCGTGGCCATCTCATCTAAAATTTTAAGTTGTACAAGAGAACATATTATTAACATAATTATAAGCCTAATTCTTTATAGGCCAACAATGTGAAAATTCTTCTTCTTTTTTAATTATGGTTAGAGTGAGACTCAAACCCACCGCCTTTTTTTTCTGAATTGTATGATCCTCTCGTCTATGATTAAAATTTGAAAAATATTACAAAATCACAACTCTTGTAATTAAAAATATTTTGAGGGTATGAAAAAATTGTTTGATTCTACATATCCTGAATAAAAACCAACAACATACCCCATGTATCCTGATACTGTCATAAAAAATGGAAAACATTGTAAATATATTTAACAAACAAAAATTTAAAAAAAATCTAAAACCCTTTTTCAGTTAATCACAAAAAATTGAATAGATCCGAGTCAAAGCCGGCAATGATGAAATTTTCAAAAGATCTTTCAGTAGATATCAGTAAATACAAAACGTCCCTATACAAAATTCAATCGTTAGAACTAAAATTACTGAATACCCAGATGAAATCACATTGAAAATTGATAAATAAGGGCAAAAAACTCATACCCTTTAAAGAATTTCACCCGATCGGAACTGATCGGTAGTTTGCCGCCGACGATTCTTTTTTTTTTTTTTGGCGGAAAATCCAACTGTACCAAAATTGATATATATATAAATATAGAACTGAGAGAAAAGAGAATTGAAGAGAAGAAAAAGACGCGTAGAGAAAAAGGGAAGACACAGTAATGGCTAAAGTGAGAGACTTTCTTGTATATACAGTCAGTCAGGACTCAGGGTGCCTTTTGTGGGTGCTTTTGACATATTCATATTCATTCTCTTTTGATTTGATTTAAATACAATTTTTCAAAAATATGTTTGGGTGCCGGTGAGACCTTTTCTTACTCAGACATTTATTTTACAAGTTAAATTAACTTCGGCGTATATACTTCAACTTCAGGTGTATATGAGTAGATATATGTGACGTAATACATATATGTCGTCATGAAGGATGCAGATTATCAGGTAGAAGTACAACAGGCAAAATCAAACTCAACTCATTCAATCCATTGAAATTTGAGCGGGTTAATTTATTAGCTCAACCCAGTACAACTCAACTCATTTCAACCCATTAAAAATTGGGTTGATATGTAACTCGAATTGGCTCATGAGAAATCTTGTCAAAATATATTTTAAAACTTTTTTTTTCAATTTGATATGTTATATATAACCATAATAAAGAAAAAAAAATATTAGGTGCTAAAATGAACAAATAAAAGAATTAAGCTTAGTAAAAATTGCGTTGGGCTGTATCTTTGACCCATTATATAACTCATTACCTAATCCGTTCTGATTCGACTCATTTTGATCCAAACAAATTTGGATTGAATTGGGTCTTGACTCGATTATTATCTTAACTCATTATAATCCGTCCAAATTTTATCCAACCCACCGTCACTAAATTGTCACCCCTATGTAAAAGCGTGTGTCTATTTTATTCAAGTTTATATAAGTTTAAGTGTCTATTTGTACATATTTAAAAATTAATAAACACAAATATTTACTAAATTAAAATTAAAATATACATTTATGTATCATGCTTAAATTAAATCAAGGACGAAGCTATAGTCGGCAGAAGGGTGATCATTTCAACATTATTTGTCTAACAATAAAGTTATACAATAATTTAATGGGAAAAAGGCGTGAAATATATTCGAATTTTGATTGAAATTGTTGTAACATCAAACTTTGGAAAGGATCTTTTACCCCCTACATTATTTAATAGTGTATTTTAAAGGTATATATGTGTCCACGTGGACATCATAAAAATTGTATCATTATAAATAGTAATGTGTCCACGTGGGCACATATATACCTTTAAAATACATTATTAAACAGTGTAGGGGTAAAAGGTCATCCACAAAGTTTGATATCGTAACAACAATTTCGGCCAAAATTAAAGTATTTTTCAAACTTTTTTCCCTAATTTAATTAAACGACTTATAATATACAATTTAAAATCATACTTGGCAAAAGATAATCCATTAAAAAGGAACACAGAAAGTACCAAATTATATGACACAGAGTAATACTATGATTTCCTTAATCCCAAAACCAAACATTCCCTTAATATACTATAAAATGCAGAATTATAATTTATAAGCCATGGTTATTAGTCAAAATATGAGGTTTCAAAAGTTGTAATTCCTATTTTGAATATTCAACTGTGTATTAAATTCTTATTGTTCCTTTCATGAAAAAAAATATTATTAATTCTTTCTTTTTATAATACTTGCCTTAACTTGGATTGAGGACAATTTTCCCTAAAGATTATTGTATTTAGTGTTTGTTTCATCAATATGTTATTGTTTGTGTAATGGAATATTATGGCGACTAATAAGAATCTTTAGTGCAATTATAAATTAAACTCTTTTGTAAATCTATTTTTTTTCACTTAATAAATTGATAAAATTAAGTACACTCTTAAGTCTTAATCGTAATTTATGTGACATGTTTTTTTTTTAATCTTGCATCCAAAATATACATCATACTTCTTTATTTATGAATAAATAATTTAATTTTAAAATTTTAATTATATTTATAATTTGTTGTTTACATTCAGAATTGTACCCGCAATATTTATCAATAAAGTTATTTCTTCTTATTTTATTATGATTGCAATTTATTATTCTGTCAATTTAAAATTTATTGTAAACAATACTTAAATAAGTAAATAATGACATATCTCTATCCATTCCTTCAAAGTTTTAATGAAAAGTCCTTTTACAAACTTTGTTATAAAATCTACTGCAATATTTATTTAACTTCTTATAGTATTATGTGTATTAAGTATTAAATTGTCTTCTCTCTTGCTTTGCCTTAAGGATTAAGCAAAGGCAATATTTTTATTACTTGTAGGTTGTATCTCTCCACCAATAGAAAATGTTGATTAATTCAAAACTTTCTCCATAATCTTAATAATTAGTCGTGTTTAAAGTAATCTTTTGTAACCACACTCTATAAATAAAAAATGATGGATACTTAAAAGAGAGAAAATAAATTTTCATATCTTGTCTCTCTTATTTTAGTTTTATATTTAATATTGTTAATTTGAGTTTGATTGCTTTTAACTTGTTATTATCACGAAACTTTAATCTCATTTCATTATTTTGAAATTGAATTTCACAATCTTACTCTAAAATTAAAAAAAAATATAATTATCTACCAGTTTAGATCCCCAAAAAAATACACATATCTTGTAAATAGTACTATTATATATAAATAGATATAAATAATAAGAGAAAAGCATATTTCTCTTTTTTTAATTATTAAAAATATATATTTATACAATATCAGACGATATAACATTAATTGAGAAGTTTGAAAAATTCGATCTTATTATTACCTAAATAAACAACATTAACTATTAATAATTTGTCGTAGCATAAATAGGAAAGAAATTTGTTGCGTTTTAAATTATTATCTGAAACGACTACAGATTGATTAAAAAAATTATATTACTACAATACAAGTAGAGAAAAAGTGGGGAAAATTGGTTTTGCAAGTCACCTATAATTCTTTTTAGTTTATATGTAATATTTTTTTTTTAAAAACAGTTACGAAAAAATTATATATTTTTTATTATTTTTTTATTTTGTCAATGAGAATGGAAGAGTATTTAAGGAATATAATTCCCAATTTAAACAGCTTACCAAAGAACGCCATGTTCACCCTCCAAATCCACACCGTCGACTCTCCACAACCTCTTCCGACCACCATCGCCACCACTTCCTCCGTCGCACACGGCCCAAACCCTAACAGTGACCTTAGCAGTAGCAGCGGAAGCTTACATCTATCGGAACTTAGAGGAATCGCTCATCTCTTCCGCCACCTTCCCTCTTCCACTTCCACCACTATTTCTAACCCTATTTCCCGCACCACCACCGTCTTCATTGTCGCTGCTCCAAATTACCTCTCCCCTGATGATTTCCTTCTCTTCTGTGGAACTCATCTTGCCGATTTCACACATGTTATGTTCCTTAAGTAAGTTTGAAACAGTGCTGGATCCTGGAATTAAACTCTATGTTTAGAATTCTGTTGTAGTTTTGTAGTTATCTGTTCATATCTACTATCTGATGTAATTTTAGTGAATTTAAGCTACATGTTGAAAATGTTGACTTTTTGTTGTTGCGGAGGATACGGATTAGGATTGAAGGTTAGTAGGTAGGAGTATGTTATCTTGTTATCCGTCCATACCAGTAGTTATAGCATTGCTACTGTGGTTTCTTGTCCTTCGATTTCTGTTACTATATGTTGTTTCCTGTACTTCTGTTGTAGTTACTATGTGTTGTTTTTTGTTACTTTCTGTTGTTTCTTGCACTTATGTTACTTCTGCTTTGGACTTTTTTTTCCCTTGAGCTGAGGGTCTATCGGAAACTGTCTCTCTACCTATGAGGGGTAAGGTTTGCGTACACTCTACCTTCACAAGACCCCGCTTTGTAGGACTATATTGGGTATGTTGTTGAAAATATTGGCTTCAGATCTATATCTGTGGTTTTTAAAGGTTATATATATGGTTGAGTGAGAGTCTTTGCATTTTCATGAAAGTAGTGGTGTCAGAGGGACTGTCATTTTCACGGAAGTAGTGGTGTCAGAGGGACTCTGCATTTTCTGGCTTAAAATTGTTTGTAAATTTGTTTATGTTGAATTTTAATACTGAATGTTTCAGGAATGATGGAATAGAACATAGTTACAGTGTGTTGATCAATATTGTTAATCAGTTGGCTGCTGATGGGTTTTACTGTAGCTTCAATGGCAAAAGGTTTAAGCCTACCGAGGTATCTAACTGCTGCTGCTGCTGTTATTATGATCATTATCATTACCAGTATTAGTTTTTAGCAATAGTATTAG